CGGCCATAGAAACACATGGCCTCGGACTTGTGGAGCGCCACCTCGAGTCCCAACTGCCGGATCCTTGCAACGACTGTCGCAACCGCTTGTGACATCAGGTCGGCCGCCGCCTGATGCGACCTCCCGTTCGCCAGCACCAGCGTGTCGTCAGCATAACAGACAATGCTGACGCCGCTCGGGAGGTCGGTGCGTAGCACCCAATCGTACCCGATGTTCCACAGGAGAGGTCCCAGGACCGATCCCTGTGGGACACCGCGCGACACCTCTCGCCGATTCCACACGCCCCGGTGACCGGGGTAGATGACGCATCTGTCCGTCAAGTAAGCCTCGACTACACGACGGAGATAGGCAGGCACCCGGTGATACCGGAGTGCCTCCAAAATGCAGCTCCAGGGCAACGAGTTGAAGGCGTTGGCGATGTCCAGAGACACCGCCACGACGACTCGCCTCTCGGCCAACGCTGTCCCCGTCGTGAGGTCCCTCACGCGCATGATGGCGTCCACCGTGGAGCGCCCTTTGCGGAAGCCGAACTGGCCGTCCGCTAAATCCGGCCCCCTTCCAGACAGGTGCCCGACGAGGCGGTCTGAGATTATCCTCTCGAACAGCTTTCCCACCTCGTCGAGCAGCACAATGGGCCGGTACGCGGACGGAGAGTCCGCAGGACGCCCCGGCTTCTTCACGAGGACCGTCTGTTACGACGGCTGGAGTGTTAAAATGATCGTTCTCTCACTCACTCCGTCTCTTCCTATTTTAGTTCAGCAAAAGTCACCTTGAGACATAGTCCTGATCAATTCTATATTCCTTTTCAGTGTGAGAAAACCATATATTAGCTGTTTCAAAACAAAACTTTGCTACCAATCGCAACTCTAGGTCATTTGAATACCTCCTTAGATGTCACTGTATACAATATACACTGGGAATGTCGCCTTGATCTAGTGACCAGTAGAATCTAGGTACTTAGGTCTCAGCACTTACCCACATTAAGCTATCCGGTGTTGTCTGTCTAATTAGATTATCAAGAACAAAAGATGATATATCATCTGTGATCGCAATTTGTAATACAACCTCATTACTGACCTAGTCAAGGCTACGATACATACAGGGTGTAATATTAACACATTTTTAATTTATAGTTCGTAATACGATATTTGTACCTCGATATGTTCACATAAAAGGATAAATAGGTCAATGACTGTAAAAACAAAAGAAATACGTAGGACCTACTTAATAGTTTTTTTGCTATATATCTTTATGTAGCTACGTATGTACTATAGGTCGCATACTGGTAGATTTGACAATGATCTGCAATGCATATAGGCAGTTAGACCACATCTACCTTTCAATTATACATATAACGCGTCGCGATCGCATTCCTCTGATTAAATCTCTAGAGAAAAGAAAATAATCTTATTTCTTGAAAATACGTAGCAGTCATATTATGTCCTTATCGATATAACTTTAAGAGACAATCATTATCTTATAGAAAAAGGAATACAAAGATTTTTCTTAGCACCTAACGTGAGACATACTAAATTTATTAAAGGTAACTATTTACTCACGTGAACTTACTGAAAAAAACTCTATATAGTTCCAAGTCACAACAGGATTCTTATTCTTACTCAGTGAATTCACGATTTCAAACTTATAACTAGAAATTATAAGTCCAGGTTTCCTCAGCGGGAGGAAACGCCCGAGTGTCGTCATTGTGAGGATCACCTGGAGGACACGGTGGAGCATACGGTGGCGGAGTGCCCTGCTTGGGTTGAGCACCGCCGTGTTCTCAGGGAAGTGATCGGCGGCGGCGACCTCTCGCGCCCGGCCTTAATCGAGGCCATGATCCAGCGTGAGAGGAACTGGGAAGCTATCTCCTCCTTCTGCGAAGCAGTTATGCTCGCAAAGGAGGAGGCGGAGCGCGTGAGGGAACTATCCTCCTCGCGCCCCAGCCGCCGCAGAAGGCGACATTCCGGACGTCGAGGATCGAGGGATGATCTCCGGCCACCGTAAGCGCGGGTCTGCGGACGGCGAGTAAGGGTAGCTCGCCGCCCGACCAGAACTGGACCCGAGCGTACGGCGCGTAGCGTTCCGCGCGCGCCTCAAAGAGCCAATAGACCACCACAGTCGGGGCCCTAAAGGGCTGATGTTTAGCCGGGGCTGCGGGGTAAGCGCAATGAGGCACCGCGACCTCGGCCCAGAGCAGGAGAAGGAACGGGGGGGTTTTTAGTCAGTAAGAGTCTGACACTCTCTCTCGCCTTACCCTGGGCGGGAGAAGTCATTGGATGATTTTCCCCTGACAAAAAAAAAAAAAAAAGGTTTCCTCACGATGTTTCCTTCACCGTATTTCAGTGGTTTCTAAATAATCATAGAAGTAGTCAGTAAGTCGTTAGTTTCATTAAATTACAAAATATTTGGTATGTTACGTTATGTAGATTAAACCAAATATTGTGTCACACTTCGTTAACTAAATGGACTCCGACGATAAAAGAAATAGAGAATCCAAAATTCTAATCGCATAAGGTAAATCATCGCTATATATGTAAAATGTTTCAATATACTTAGATCTACATGTAATCCATTGCAGCTCAATATTTCTATGCGAACCACTACGTTTTGGCAACTGCATCGATGCGATGTCACGTAACACATACATTATTGCGATGACACACTGGGTGATTGGTATGATACATTCATATGTTTGGGTTTCTAGATTTTTGAAATATACATTATGCTTTTAATTTATACTAATATAACAAATAGATTTAAGGACATTGCTCTGCGTTCCTTCAGTGTTGGCCCTAGAGCCAAGAGCAACGGTAATATATGTATTGTAGTATCTATCATTAATAAACTTCTATACCTACCATCTTATATTTATATAGCGGACTAGCTGCCGAGTAAAAATATCAGATTTTGAGGTTGTAATTTAACCATAATAACGATGTAATTTTTCAAAAATATCTGTAATTTTTAAGAACCATGCTAAATAACTACTAACTACTAACATATTTTAGGAATGCACGATGCCTCTTCCTGGAATTGGCAAACCCATTTCAGTAGTTGTAAATTTTATGAAATCAAAAGAGCAAACACACACATATATATGTAAACAATCATTATTTAATACAATTATTTCTATACTAATATAATAAAAAGGTAAAATTTGTAAGTTTGTATGTAGGGGTAATCTTTGGAACCGCTGGTCAGATTCCCAAAATTCTTTCACTGATAGATACCTACAATGTTCCTGAGTGGCTTCCTATAGGCTATATAAATTCACGCTACGATTAAATGAAGACGAGCAGCGGGTGAAACCGCGCGAGAGTAGCTAGTAGGTATCTATATATATCTTGCAAATATATGCTGTACACATGTATCAGCTAAGCCCGACTATACAAACGTGAGTTTTAGGTGCAAATTTTAATCTTAATTCGATTTGAAATTTCTTTCTCATATAAATTTAAAGATTTTAGATTTATTATAACTCTTTAAGAGGACGTTGATTGGTTTTGAAACTACCCGTCAGACACTAACTAGGATCTGTAATTTCTAATTATAAGTTTGAAATCGCCAATCCACTTCGAGTAAGCGGGGTGATTAATTCTCAACGCTCAACTTAACTTTTATTATGGGATAGATCGGTGTGCAAATCTTTACGTCCATGGACATCCATAATACGAGAGGAATTACGAGTGCATTGCTGATCTTTCTGGGTAAGGGCTTTGAGGATTAGGGATAGAAGTGCACGAACATTGGCCCTCGTGTAATTTCAGTCACACGGCGAAATTAAACTAGTGTGAGAGAGTCATGCTTTAGTACGAATAGGTTGGCCCGGCCGGAGTGATACCGCGGCCTCACAGAAATCCGGCGTGAAACAATCACAGCGTTGTGTTTCGTCTTGTGAGTGAGGTTACCGGAGGCCCAATCTTTCCCCTCCCCCAATCCCTAAATACCCAAATCCCTAATCCCCTAAAAGTCAGCAACGTTCTCGTAACTCCTTTGTTGCGGGTGTGCATGGGTGGCGCTGATTGCTTACCATCAGGTTACACCTTAATGAAAAAATGTGCAAGCGTTACTTGTGTTACACTAGTTTTCTCAGATTGAGCCGGCCCATTCCTACCCAAGCATGACTCTCACACTTTAATTCCATTCTAGATTAAACATAAAAAAAAATATTCTTTTATAGGTAGGTTCGTTGTCATACATAGAAAAGTAAATTATCGAATGAACTATAGAAAAAGTCCTTAACCTATAAAATATTTATTACCTTATTATTCAACGTTAACATTTAAAATTAAGTATTATTATAATAATATAATTCTATTAATAATCTCACAGGTTTTTCGAGCTGTCACATTTAGGTAAAGTATGGCATATATTATTCTAAGAACTAGTTTCATTATTATTATCATAAAAGAAAATAGGCAAGTTTATCACTAACTTAGATACGATTTAGATCATTTATTTATCAGCAACAATGTTTTTATTAAATTTAATTATTTAATAATAGAAAATATTTTAGATACCTAAGTACCTACGAGGTAAAAAGAAATGTTCGCTTTTAATTTTGTTTCTTTTGTAATAGGCTAGATACAGGAATTCGTGTCAGAGGTACTAATAGAGGAGGTATTAAAAAACAATCAATCGACATGGTAAAATCATAACTCACTTAAATAACTATATGAAACAATTGAAATAAAAAAATAACTTCAAAAGTAACCTTATAATATTATAATGTATTTTTTTTTTAATTATGCCATCCATAGATTTTGTCGCTTTTACCGAATCCCATGGCCACGTTGTCAACACTTCTACTAGACTGTGAGAATAATAACCCTGTATTAATACTTTTCCTATTTTTAAATAAAATAAACTTATTTTGTTAACTACAACTTACTTGATACAGACCCTAGCACATCAAGCTAACCTATTCTGACAAATATTTTGATTTGATTTTTAACTTTATACCTCTGTATTATAGATAAAAATAAATTGACAGTATGGGGTAGTTTGATGTGTCAGTGTCTGAAAGTATTGAAAAATACTTTGCTATAATAAATTATGTGGCTAAACTAAAGAGCGGTGATGTAATTGTCATGCGCATACATCTCTTTCTCTGTCGGATTCTTCACTGTGTCTCTTTCTTGTCTCTTATGCATTATGTATAGTATTCTGAAAACAAAATAAATATACTTTAACAATATTTTTTAATAATATTTGGTTAGAGCTGATTTTCCAATAAAATTGTTGCTGTCACTGTCTTATACAAACATTCTGACGCGACAGCACCATAATTATTCCCTAGGTAACTTTTATCTAACCTTTGAAAAATAAGCCCTTAGATGTTTCCTAATCGAAGCGTGTGATACGTATAATTAAATTTTTACTAAATTATATAAGTAATAGTATCTGATATCACATTAATTATTAGTACTGAAATAAGTAGTTCAAAATATGTGTAGTACTTATTTTCTTCTAAAGAACTTTTAAGGTTGTTAAAGCAAGCCAAATTTTATGGTTTATTAAATCTATCTCACCCAATCCCTCCCCAATCCTTGAATTCTCAAAATTCAGTTGCAACTCCACTTGTGTTGCTGTTGCTGTTTTCCATGGAAGGCACTGATTGCTTACCATCAAGTCATCCGTACGCTCGTTTGCCGGAGGCTAATAGTCCAGTACTTGATGACTTGATATCTTCTAGGTTAGAAAGATTTTTGATTATGATAATTTAATTAAATTTGGTTAGTTTACATTCCCAATAAGCCCCTCAAAACATCATCATCTAACTCCCTAAACGACACACATAACCTTAACCTTCTAAAACACACACGTAATTAGAAATCCGCGTCCAAAGACCATGAAGCCGGCCTTTGACCAGCAACGTGATCAATTTAAAGTAACGTGAGCACAGTGCATATTGTCATCGACCGAACGACGAAACCTCACACTGGGCAAAATTCCAACATGTATAATACTGATTACGTGATTGAAAACAGCCTCGACCTTTTATAGAATTTGAGTTCTTTTTTTAAGAGCAATCAATCGATTTTTGTTTGGCGTTTGATGTAAGTGGTAAGTTGGATATGGTTTTATGTTTGTTTAGGAGTACCTAGTAAGATTTTTTTTAATAAATTCCAGTCTTTGTAAGTTTATTTAAAAGTTACTGAAGAATAGATTATATTTATTTAATGATAGTCCTGAGATAATAAAGTCCGATGCTTCTCATACACAAGAGTGGTTTTAAAAAGGCAAAGTACACATTTGACTTTTGCCGATTTATATTTGCGTTCTAAAACTGTCTGGACACTAATAAACCAATTGAAATCGCAAATCCGTCTTAAGCAAGCATGGTGATTTATTGCTCAAACTTTTTGCCTGAGAGAAGACGTCTACGTTCAGCAGTGGATACGCTGATTATGTGATGTGATAATTGCTAGCTGTTACAGAATATCTATATGTTCCGACATTTCATAAGCTGAACGCTTTAGTATTAAATTCCTAGAGCACAATCTACTCCGATAAAAAAATTCATCGCAAAATGTGTTTGTAAGCACATAACTCTAGAAAGCTTGGACCAATTTTGCCAATTCTTTTTTACTGGGCGTTTTATTGATAAATAATATGACATATCAACGATTAAGTTTCAATCCAAATAAAATTGGATCATCACATTTACTTAGATACATCTTTATGTTCCTACCATACAAAATAACTTGTCCAAGTACACTTATCACCACGCATAATATAGATACTTACATAAATATCAAGAATGCTGGTATCGTCATAACTCCTCCCAGCAGGTACACGGCTCCTGGCAAAGTCTCCACAGTGTTGGAGAACAGCTTACTGTACATCGGTGTGTATATCACAGGTATTAAAGTTTCCACGAACCCAATTAGCGAGCATATTTTACCTGAAATAAGATTAAAAAGGCTTTAGTCAGATCGATCGAATTTTAAGTTCAAAATATTTGTTTTGTTTTTGCATTCATAAGAAATTAAGTACACTATTATTATTTTCTTCGTATTCCATATATTTCGATTCCAGAGTACATACGATGATTATTTTTTTTAATCTTATAAACAAGTGCTTGACTGCAATCCTACTTAATGGTAAGCAGTGATAATCGTTGATAGTAAGGCGTTCTAGCTTAAGGTTCCGTACCTAAGTATAGGGTTCATCTCTATCTATTTTGGTAAAGAATATAATAAAAGTTGACCATTACCAATATTTTGGTTTTAAGCAATGAAAGCAATTGCTTTCTCGTACATCACTATTTCATCCACAATCAAGATATTAATCATTTTCGAAGCAATGCGAGATTTATTCAACTGAACAGTTAGATAAATGAGCAATTAGTTGAGTGCAGTCCAATGAATGGATGGGGTCGTTTTAAATTGATGAACATTATGGGTCGTATCACCAACCATTAAGTCAAGTATCGTATATAATATCTATAATATCGCCTCTATATTTATTGGGGTACAAACACTGTAAAAATATATTCTAATATCGACCCGCCACCGGTTCGCACGGGTGCAAAATGATACCAAAATTCACCAATGTTATTATACATACAAACCTTCCTCTTCCAAACCGCATCAAAATCCGTCACGCAGTTTTAAAGTTTTAAGCATACATATGGATATAAGAGCAGAGAAAGCGACATTGTCTTATACTATGTACTGATAGTTATATAGAGTTAAGTAAAGAGGGATTTTAATTTTATTTTCAGCTATTGTCTACCTTGTAAATTGTGTTACACTAGGTAGACAGGACCTGCACACGTTGCTAGAAAATGCAATTTCCTAGTGCAAAGGTTAAAATTCCTTCACATAGGTAACCCGACAAACAATGTCTGTTACGCTTTGTTGGAGCAAGAATTCAGAATGTTCACTTAAAAGGCTGATAAAACTGGTTAAACTGAAATTTTGGGGCGTTCAACTTAGAAATGGTATCCTGTTAGTGCCCAGTTTTTGCGAATATTGGGGATTAGAATAATTACTGAGGAGTATTGACGTCTCGAGAAACCTCAAATATCGTGGATTCTTCATATCAAAATTTAGGATGAAATTGAGAGGAGGAGAAGACCAGGTCATAGAAGAAAATGGTTCCGACCTACATATATGATAAACGAGAAATTTTGTGAGGGTGTAGATTATGTCTATGTTTTTGCTTTTTTACATTTTTAGAAAATAATTAAAAAAGGAAAAAAAGAATAATACAGAAAGACCGATTGTCGTTAATAGGTATCCAGACTGTTTACTGATGTTCAAAAGTTATGTTATACATTTTTATGAAAAAGAATAGCATTTTTTTAAGAATTTTGAGATTAATGATAAATTGAAGAGATGATGTAGGTAAGTTTACAATGGCAAAGTCCCGAGCCCTTTCCTTGCTTGGCTATTAAGTAGTATGTACCTACAATACGGTAGTTTTCAACTAGTCAAATTCAATACTTTTATCCTAATATCAAAAATAATACTTTTCTATGACATTTTTATGAAATACTGAGTTATGACGTCATAGTATTTTTGCGTCAAATAGCTTAGATATTTTTTTAATATTTAGCTACAAAATATCTAAAAATTCGTGTAGGTATCGATCGATCGATGAATAAAAGTATAGTTATTTTACAATATTTTATTGTATTGAAAAGTCGAATTAATTTATTTTTGACCTAGGTTATTACCCAATTATAATAGCGATATTTTTCCAAAAAAACTCAAATTTGAGAAGAAAAAAATTCCATGAGTAAATTTACTTACGGAACGAAACACATGGTCAAATGCCATGGGCAAAAACCAGTTCATTTAACCTTTTATAAAGAAGAAGATCAACAAACATAATTAGTTTTTTTTTTCTATAAATCTATGTTTTGCTTGATCTCTCATAGAATCCGGTTTGCAAATAAGTGGTTTATGTTTATAATAATAAAGTCTAACACACCTTGAGGCTGACATCAGAATGATGATAAAAAGCGAAACACAAGTTACTTCTATTTTGAGAATTCCTTTACAAGTTTAAATATATTTTTAATAAGCTCCTATATTTTTTTGGGCAGCCCTAGCGTAGAATTTTGAATTTCAATCTCCGGGTATCCAGAACTTTACACGACTATTTTACGAATAGGCCCGATGAAAAAATAAAATACAGATTACCTCTATATCGTCAACATTACATAGTCTACACTAATATTATAAAGAGCTAAAATTTTAAAGTTTGTATGTAGGGGGTAATCTTTGGAACCGCTGGTCGGATTGCCAAAATTCTTTCACTGATAGATAGCTACAATGTTCCTGAGTGCTATAGACTATAAAACATCACGCTAGGATTAAATGGAGCCGAGCAGCGGGTGAAACCGCGCAATAGTAGGTAGGATAAAATAAAATAAATTTCTCTGTCCCCATATCCTTTAAAATTACGCAACAGATTTTGATGTGCATTTTTAAAAGGTAGAGTCATTGAAGATGATCTATGAAAATTTTATAAAGGTATTTATAATAACATCTATTAATAGTGGAGATACTAACACCCGGTTTTCGAAAGGCCGATCAATGTTAAAATCAATTTAATATCTTGTCAAGTCATCTGATTGGTTGTTGATAATTTACTCAACCAATCAGATGACTAGAGATTTAACAGGAGATTAGTTAATTTTAACATTGAGAAGCCTTTCGGAAACCGGGTGTTAGTATCGGCAATGCATCCGTGCGAAGCCTAGTTATATTTAAATACTATTACTAATACTACTAGGTTTGCAAAACTTCTATTCATCAATATAAATAACTTTGACACTACTCATTATATAATTATACATAAGTATTTATTTTTGATCCGGTTTTCCCCAAAATAAATAATGAAGCCGCCCACGTTTGACATTCCTATATATTTTTTACGAACACTTTTTATATTAAACTTGTTATACTATCATTAAGTTTAGTGGTTACTTTAAGTTTGATGTTTGTGAATGTATCCGCTATTGTCATTGCTCATATTTGAACCAAACTTTATAGAATGGTGCAATCAGAAAGATACAACTGGACTGTCACCATAGAGGTCTCGGTCGTGAAAAGCATCATTGATTTTTTTTTGTTTATCTACTTTTTATTACACGGTACAATGTCATTATGCTGGGATGCTAGCTAATGTAATATCTGTCTATTAGACAGATATTACGATGTACTTATGTATGACAGCTCAAAAATATTACAAACACTTTTGACGATATTTTGATTTGAAAGGACGCTGAAATGGCCACGCTAAGGATAAAAATTTTAGCAGTGAGTTTACTAAAATTAATTTCTATTTATCACATATTTCAGAAAAATAAGTATCTAAAATTGTTGTTGAAACATTTGACTGCCAGTGCCAGTGTTTTGTAAAATAATTGTAGTTAATTCAATGTTTTAATTCTCCTTTTGTACTATAGATCCTTCACAGTTATTCAACACCGTATATTGCGTGCATTTTTCATAAGAATACAAATGAAATCTAGATCTTCAAAGTGTTTGAAAACAAACTTAGGCAAACTCGTTTTTATAATAGCATTTAATAATTCTAGAAAAGCACTTGAAATATTCAAAATGATATCAAAATTATTTGAAAGCGTTTAAATAACTTTTAAATGTAAAAATCAAATGCCTTCTCTAGTTTTAATCTTGGAAATACGTACCTTCTAGTTCAAAATGGCCTAAGTAAGTACTTAGGTACCTAGTACCTTCTAGTAAATTGCTGTTCAAAGTTATTACAATTTAAGTTTTATCGTGAATTCTTATGTTCCAATAGAACTTTTGAACACACTTTAATGTTATGGCTTCTTCATTTCTTTCGCAAATGTTTTATTTTATACTTTTTGCACAAGATACCATGGCAGACATGGCAGGTATTAAGAGTTCTCTACCAGTCCAGTTTTGGATAGTGGAGAAACAGAAGTTGTATGTAGGTGTTATACATAAAAAAATATAATTTGTAATTTTGTAAGTTTGTATGTAGGGGGTAATCTTTGAAACCGCTGGTTTGATTGCCAAGTTCCTGAGTTATATAGGCTATAAAACATCACGCAACGATTAAATGGAGCCGAGCAGCGGGTGAAACTGCGCGAGAGAAGCTAGTATCATATATATCACTGTTTTGTCGCAGGCTTTTCTATAGGATGTTAGTCTTATAAGTTTTTAGGTCTCATGTGAATTTATAGTACAGTCAATGTTTATACACTGCAAATGTATTTTAGTAGTTCTTTCGTCCTTTTAGAATTTCATCTTTCATTATTTAAACATCTAAAGATAGCTTATGTCATTCGAATTCTGGTCTATGGGCAAATTCTGTCTTAACTTGTCAATCGTGGTTATTCAAGACACTATAGTAAGACAATAGGTGTGTGAACGCCAGCGTTCGGTTGGGGTTTTTTTTTTTTTTTTTTTTTGTGAGGGGAAAATCATCAAATGACTTCTCCCGCCCAGGGCCGGGCAGGAGGGAGTGTCAGACTCTTACTGACTAAAAACCCCCCTGTTCCTTCTCCTGCTCTGTGCCGAGGTCGCGGTACCTTATTGCGCTTACCCCGCAACCCCGGCTGAACATCAGCCCTTTAGGGCCCCGTCTGTGGTGGTCTATTGGCTCTTTGAGGCGCGCGCGGAACGCTACGCGCCGTACGCTCGGGCCTGGTTCTGGTCGGGCGGCGAGCTGCCCTTACTCGCCGACCGCAGGCCCGTACTTACGGTGGCCGGAGATCGTCCCTCGATCCCCGACGCCCGTAGTGTCGCCAGTTGCGGCTGCTGGGGCGTGAGGAGGAGGATTGCTCCCTCACGCGGGCCGCCTCTCTCTTTGCGAGCATGACTGCTTCACAAAAGGAGGAGACGGCGTCCCAGTTCCTCTCACTCCGCACCATGGCCTCGACTAAGGCCGGGCGCGAGAGGTCGCCGCCGCCGATCACTTCCCTGAGGATACGGCGGTGCTCAGCCCAGGCAGGGCATACCGCTACCGTATGCTCCACCGTATCCTCTAGGTGGTCCTCACAATGACGACACTCGGGCGTTTCCTCCCGCTGAATCCGAAACAGGAACCTACCTCGGGCAATCGCTACGTTTTAGTGGTATTGAAGACAAATTATGCTATTTGAATCGAGGTTTACAAAAAGAAATAAACAGTTAATAATTCATTTTTATTTGTCTTAGTAACAAGGTCTCCGAAAAAACCGGCGTGGAATAACCACAGCGTTGTGTTTAGTCGTGTGAGTCCATCCCTTCTCAATAGTTAAACATCCGCAACCCTTATCGCAAAAAATCCAGCAACGGCAACTTTTCTGATTTTACGGGAGTCCAGGGTGGTGTCGATTGCTTACCATCAGGTAATTCGGTTGTTCGTTTGCTGAACTATCACAACACAACAACATTTGATATAAAAATATAAACAAAGTTTTTTATCCAAAATTAAATTACAAAAAAAAAACTTACCAACTTTTTCCTCGCCCACAACTTTAGTGCCAAGAGATCTGATAGCTATGGCGCCAGAGTTCCCGAAGAAGTCAAAGGCTGGGGCAGCATATAGCCAATCCCTGGTTGGAGCCAGCCCGTAGACGAAAGCAGAAACAGTTTTGCAAGTAGTGGCGATTATCCCCATTAAGCTATCATGCATCTTCAAAGTTTTACTGAAGAGTGTTACTGCTACTGCCGATCCTGTAAAAGAGGCAACGAAATTATTAAAAAAAGAAAGTGGATATATAGTATGTATAGCCCTATATGCCTATATACAAAAACATTTGTACACAAACCTCTTCTATCCTACAACCACCAAAACCACACACAACACACACACACACACACACACATACATACATGAATCTACACATACTCCTAGTATTGCACTTTTAACACATTTTTATACTCACTTTGTTTTGTTTTTCTTTCTTTAATTTTTAAACATATATTTGAAGTAATTTTGGTTTGTAAGGGAAGAAACGAGACAGCCCCAACACAAGCTTTTGTAACTTACTGGGGTTGCCTTAGTTTATATTATGTACGCAATGTTAGATGACATAAAAATCTTTTATCTTATCTATATCTTTACCTATCAACATACCAAATCGGTCCATCCGTTTTTGGTTGAAAGAATAACAAACATACATCCATATTATATTCTCACAAACTTTGACATTTATAATATTAGTAGGATAATAAAAAAAATGTTACATACTGCATAGTCAGTGTTAATCTGATCCTTATAGCTGGCTATAATATTTAAAAATTAGGTCCTATTTCATACCAGATAAATTTAAATATAGAACCTTTTTTTAATCTGCTTTTATAAGGGTGGTAAGACAGACGCATTAACTAATGATGAGCCAACTGAGACACATTAAGCATTTTATATTTATTTAATTTATACAACAGACAATGGAAATGTTAACTTGAATTTATACAATCGATAAAAAAGGTCGAATTAATTGAAAACAAAATTTCATGAATGAATGGACGCTTAAGGATGATATGGCAATTATGGTTGATTATTTTGTCATAGTGTCAAAGTCATGGTAAAGTAATTGTTCAATAATCCTTAAGGTGATTATAATCATTATTTAATCTTCGTAGTTAAATACTAAAAGTTTTCCAAAGGAAAGAACAAGCAAGGTATTCTGTGATTACTTAAAACGATTACTTGATTGAGAAAGGAATATAATCCACGATAATTTTCTTATGACCTCGATATTGTATTGTTAAATTACTTATACAAAAATTGTGATGTATCAGCTGAATTAACCAGGACCATCACGACATAATAAAAAACAAAGTCGCTTTTCCTGTCCCTATATCAATATGTCTGCTTAAATCTTTAAAACTACGCAACGGATTTAGATGCAGTTTTAATAGATACCTATAGAGTGATGGAAGAGGAAGCCTTACATGTATAGTGACATCTATTAAACAGTGGACAAATTTTGTGTCAAAAAGGCACCCGTGCGACGTCGGGGCGGGTGTCTAGTACGTTTTAAAACGAAAAGAGAGAGTAGCACTATTAACTATTTAAGGAGATGTAGGCAAATTAGTTGTTAAAAGAAAATCTTCAATATGGTCTTCTATCTATAAAACTGAATAGGCTTACCAAATATGGAAGTGTCTAATGTAAAACAGACGATTATGACGAATCGAAACTTTCTTTTATTTAATTGAACAGCTACGAGTTTTTAAGATATGTATTAGGTTTTGTACTATACTAAATGTTTCTAGTATATTTTAGAGCTGCAATAACTTCATTGTATTTTCTCTTTGATAGCAATAGCTATATGTAGCTTCAATAGCAATATGTATGCAATAGCAATATGTAGCTTCCTAATATTATAATAAATAGGTTTGTTATTCTGTCGCACAAGGCTGGACGTAGACGTGGTTGAAATCTAGTGTGTAGATGGACCCTGAACAAGTAGGCTGAATAATAACACGCGGGCGAAGCTGCAGGTGGAAGGCAGTGTTAACAAATTTTGCTCATTGTAAAAAATAAAGGTAATGAAGTAGTACACAAACATTGTAAGAACCAAAAATATTCTATATAGTACCTTTTCTCGCATTAATACTTTGCGGCTATAGAACTACCATTATAATAGTACCTACAAAACCGAATATACTTTACATAAAGCTTTATAGTCATTAACATATCACATTATAGTCATCTCATTTCCTCAATAACATTTGTATTACAAAAAAAAACAATCTGTCTGAGTATACTTCAACTGATTATGCGGTTAGATGAAGCTCAGTAAATAATTTGAGAGCAACAATAGCAAAAACCTAACAATAATAAATGATATTACATTTAAAATTATGTAAAAAGCCCTCCGGCCTTTATAAACTGATAATGTATGTATTATAATACATTGGCCTGAAGTAACAACGTTTGGGACCTCATTGTTTAATGTACTAAAAACAAACGCATTTTTTTTACAACATTCGTTTAAAACCTTTTTTTCTACCATTGACATTCTTACTTCTTTAGATGGACTAAAAAGTTTAAATTTAGAACATACTTTTGAGTTGAATGCCCGAATCAAGGCGGGTGACATGCAAAGTTACGTTTTAATTTTTTTACTGGCACAAGTACTACTGTTGATTTGCCTACCGGTTTTCCTGTTACCTCAAACATATTTCGTACATTAAACTGAAATAGATACAGATTGACTCTTAAAAATAAGACGACGATGATGAATATGATAGTTTTTTCAAAGAATCTCCACTATCTGTTACATCTACGTAGAAAAATGTATTATTAACATACAAATAGCTTTACCTCATCCTTTGCAATGCACTTTAATCAACTACCTACATTACATAATACTAGAACTATTATTATGAATGCAATTATTTCACTTGAATAGCAACGAACAATGAGCTTAGGAATTATTTCCTGATAAAGGATTTTAGTTTTGAAATACTCATTTGAATCTAGGAATACTGGGGTATTTGTTAATAGTCTTCCTTGGTATCAATGGAACTTATAATATAATATAGGTGATAAGAAAGATTATCTACAAAGTTGAAATCCAAACTAATATTATAAATGCGAAAGCAGCTCTGTCTGCCTGTATTTCTGTATTTTCTTCACGCCTAAAAATTACCTATAAATTTCGACAACAATCAGGATGTCACGTAACTTAATATCGTTGCAATAATACAACATTTAATGTTAATAATATACACATGATTATCTTACCTGCAGTGCCCATTAATATTGAATAAGTGCTAAACAAACTCAAATCCACGACACTCATACTAAACTTCGTCAAAACATACAGGAAAAGAACAGAAGCTTCACCTGAAAAAAAAAAACAATTCACTCAAGGATATCTTTGATATAACATCGTTTGATCATTAAGACAAACAAAGTCAGATAATAATTGAGACAATTATAAATTCTGTTTATTTGTTAGTTGAAAACGACATCGATTATTAGAAGAACAATTAAGATTTTTAATCAAAAACTTCCTTAATTAGTGTTGATAAACAATAACACCTCTGTAACACTTCATTGAATAGCAATTCCAAAGGTTAAATGAAGTAAAGAAATACAAAGATGGAGGTTAAAACACTACATTGTAAGTAGTCAATAAAACTTACCAAAAACAGGTCCCATAATAACGATATGTGCACCAATTACTAAAAGAATTTGCAGCAACTGCTTTCCTCGAGACAAGAAAAGCAACGATATGGTATCCCAAACATTCCGAGGATGTATAAAATCGGCAACTTTTTGGACCATAGTACCTTCCAACTTCACAGTTCTAACATTCTTGATTCTGAAGTAAGTGTAAATAAACGCTAGGAGGTATAGAGCCAAATTAATTCCAAATATTCCATAATAACCAACAGCTTCTGTCAAAACACCACTAATCGATGTACCAAAAGGTATTCCTAATGTAACAATGATTCCGACTAATCCAATCCTGAATGTTCTTGATTCTACAGTGGTTAGGTCTGCTATAAAACTATATGAACCCATCAACGCGATTGAATAGCCCCCTGTTAATGAAGGTAACGCTTCTATTAGCGCTGTAACCCATAAAGGCCATTCTAGGAACATGTATGTTGTTAGTAGCAAACCACATGAAGAAATAATTTCACCAATTACAGGTATAAGCATTAGCGCCTTTCTGTTCCCTGTTTTATCGCTCCATGCTCCAACATTTAATATAATAATCGCAGGAAAAGCACTTTGTAATGGACTTTGCCAAGCTGTCATGTCTGCAACCAGCTTAGTGGCATTCAATTGAGCAGCTAGACCAAAAGTATCATTTTCACTGATTTCCCCATTCACGGCTTGTAGACATATTTCTTCTGTGAGATTCAAATCAACACGACATGCTTTTTCTATGTTCAGCTTTTGTACTGCTAATCCTGATACGGCTATAGGTATAATGTAGCACAATAGAAAAGGTTCTACCGTAAAGAAGGTAAAGAATCGTTTTATCAAGACACCAAAAGTCACTGGTTCTTTTTCCTTTTTCGTAGCTCCATTGCCATTAGTTTCTGCATTGTTCTTTGTTTTGGTAAGTTCTAGACCGTTTTCACTTTTCCCGTTCATTTTGTTACTTTCATATCACTTGCACTCGCGTTTGATATTTTCTAAGTTATCGTCTAAGTGTGCGTTTGTTTGTAAATACGCACTACGACTGCCAGTCTCGCCGTAGGTCATCGAAATCATCACGGAAACTTGTTTCTTATAATCACTGTTGAGTTTTTAGTGAAGCAGGTAGGATCTCCGTGATACGCCCTTGAACTAAGAAATGTCAGAGTTTAAACACATTTCATCATTAATAATATTATCTTATTATCAATTTGAATAAAAAAAAATTGTATTTTTAAACAGAAAAAGGTATCATTCAAACGTTTAGGCGTTAAATTGTGCTAGCTTAAGTTTATTTAGGTAAGTTATTTAGCATATTTATATGGATATAGAGGCTTTATTTGTAAAAGAGGCAAATAATAATTAAAAATACCTAAATAACTTACCTTTTATTATGTTTATTGCGATTATCTGGAAACGTGTTTATAAAAATATCAAAACTAAAATGTTATTCTGTAACTTATAATTTTTTGGGTGTTTTAATTTGTTTTTGTAGTCCGGTTTTCTTACTTAATAAATTTTAACTTAATAAATAAATTGTAATCTTAACTTAATAAATTGTTTAATCATTAGATGATCTGTTTTTTATTATTATCACTAAAATAATTTGTTGATAAAGCCATGGTATTATTAAACCAATGGTATTATTTAATTATACGAAATAAATACAATTTAATCTGTGGGTAAATATAGCATATGACATACCTACATTAGGTAATAAAAATTTGAATTAGTTGCAATATTTGCATTGTCATGTATCCTAGTATTATGTATGATGCAACCTTCATTGTATTTTTCAACGTAACAATATCTTTTGTTAGAAAAGTTTTCAATGAAAACATTTATTGTGTCGGTTTGAAGTGTAATTAATTGATTTAACACGGAGCGCCTGTTGCAAACGGATACTGATTGGACGTGTGACCAATTGATATGGTAAATGCAACAGGCGCTTTGAGTTAATTCTGATATCTGTCCAAGATTGTCCGCTACGGTAGGCGTAGCAACTATACTATTCATTTTCCTACATTTTATTTTATTTTAAAAGGTCGGCGATACGAGCAGACTTATTACCTGATGGTAAGCAATCAGCGCCGCCCATGGACACTCGCAACGGAGGAGTTACGAATGCGTTGCCGAATTTTTTAGGGATTAGGGATTTGGAGATTTAGGGATTAAGGAGGGATTGTGGGAGGGGAAGGATTGGGCCTCCGGTAACCTCACTCACACGGTGATACACAACGCTGTGGTTGTTTCACGTCAGTTTTTTGTGAGGCCGTGGTATCACTCCGATCGAGCCGACCCATTCGTGCCGAAGCATGGCTCTCCTACACTTAAAAAGCAGTCTAGTAAGACTAAGGGCCTATGTAGACACAGATTCTTCGAAAGACTTCTCAGACTCAGTTTTCTTTGTAAAATATTCATCATGCTTAATAATAATTTATGCTGATGATGTTAACACAAAGTTCATATTCATAAGCTCGATGGATCACATTACGAGCTTCATTTGCTATTGCTCGTTAATAAAAAAAAAATGTCGTCTCATCTACGTAGGTCATAAAATAACTATTCAATGGAATTATAAATTAAAATAATGAATATTGAAAGCTTTGCCACCCAATGATGTGAACGTGTATCATACCTAATTATACAATGTATATGTACCTATACCTATTAAATCTAGATATTTAATATTTAATGATAGTTAGAAATAAAGTTGTGGAAAACAACACGAAAATATTTTGTAACTTTTAAGCATGATAATCCGAACTAATAGTTACTTTCACATATTTTATAAATATGTGAAAGTAACTCTGTCTGTCTGACTGTCTTTTCTTCACGAGAACTCGAGAAATACTACTAACTCGAGAAACACTCGAGAAATACTAAATATCTGCAGGTAGTCACTATTCCATGCGAATGGAGTTGCGGGCAAAATCTGGTAGTAAATAAGTTATTGTTTTAGAGTTCCGTAAACAAATGCCAAATGCCAAAAAACGGAACCCTTATTGTCATGTGCGCCTGTCTGTTAAAACTATGTGCATTAGGATTTGTGAACCAAAATAGCACAAAATAAACTACTTATGTAATATTATAGATTGTGTGTTTTTTTTTCGTCAAAATCATAGATGTACTCGTATAAGCCATACATCTTAAGTGGTATCTATGGATAGGTCTTCATCATCATCAGCCTATAGGTGCCCACTGCTGAGCAAAGACCACTTCTCACAAGGAGAAGGTTTGAGCATTAATCACCACGCTTGCTCAATGCGGGTTGGCGATTTCAAACTTATCCAGGTTTCCTCACGATGTTTACCTTCACCGTATGAAAAATGATATTAAGTAGGTTCTCTAATTCCACTATTTTCTGAACTGAATAACTAGCGTGAAAAACGCTTTAAAAGGAGTAAACTTCTACAATATAACAATAAGGAAATGAAATAAACATTATGTTATATACTCGTATGTATAAATGAACATTTTTTTATGGGCATGACACAACTCCCAGTTGGTTGCTTTTTAATTATTTAAACAGCTCTTTGAGTTTTTTTTTGTCAGGGGAAAATCGTCAAGTGATCTCTCCCGCGTCTCTTACGTACTAAAATCACCCCGTTCCTTCTTCAGCTCTGGGCCGAGGTCGCGGTGACTCATTGTGCTTAACCCGCAACCCCAGCTGAACATCAGCCCTTTAGGGCCCCGTCTGTGGTGGTCTATTGGCTCTTTGAACGCTACGCGTCCGCTCGGGTCTGGATCTGGTCGGCCCTTACTCGCCGTCCGCAGATCCGCGCTTACGGCGACCGGAGATCGTCTCTCAGCAGCTGCTTCCGGCAGCTGGGGCGTGAGGGGGATAGTTCCCTCACGCGCTCCACCTCCTCCTTTGCGAGCTGTTTCGCAGAATGAGGAGATGGTTTCCCAGTTCCTCTCGCTACAAACCATAAAAAAGAACTATCGGTTCCCCGAGGACACGGCAGTGCTCAACCCAAGCAGAGTACACCGCCACCCTATGCTTCAACGTGTCCTAGAGGACACGTGGTCCTCACAGAACTTAGCTTCACCTGACACGACTCTAGTTTTTACAAAAACTTTGTTTTATCAGGCTATTGTAAGTTAATACTGCCTAAGATAACTCAGTCCAAAAGGTCAAAAATAAGTATGTAGATACCAACTATCCCAAGCGTACGCCACGTCGTGTTCTGCGCGCGCCTCGAAATGCCATCAGACCACCACAGATAGGGTCTATTAGGGTCAATGTTCAGCCGAGGCTGCAGTAATGTACCGTTGCCACATCTCAGAGCAGGAAAAAGAACAGCGTCGTTTTAAGTCAGTAAGAGTCTGATCCCTCACGTCCTCGCTTTCAAGAATATCTTACCCATTCACAAAAAATAAATACGATTCTGACCATTGAAATGTAGCAACAAACCAAGTATTATAGCAATGCAATAGTCAGCAATTTCCACCAGGTCATTGGACTACTGTACACGAAGAAGGTTGTACGCTTTCTATAGCCTTTTTCAAGGTCTTCTACCGAGCTTTAGGGCCCAGAATTACGTGACCAGCTGTTGTGGAAACCAATTTATTGGTTTCTGATATCACGTACAAGAATTAGGTTTGTAATATCATAACACACTTCAAGAACAGCATTACCATGATCTTAATACGTTTTCTAGGTATCGGTTTTTGCAAACCCCATTTAAGGCATACGTGCATGGTAAATTTATGTTAAGTTTGAAGTATTTCGACTGTATTAATGGTAGACCCATTGTTATTCTTATTGTATACATTACAGTGTTTGAAAAGACCTAAAACATTTTTGAAAAGCCTCACTTGTTGGCTGAATTATGCCAAAAAGTATTTTTTTTGTCATCAGTACCATATCTTTCTTATGCTCCAAACGCCGCAGGACGAGACACTCCGGTGTTGAGAGACGGCGAGCTATCCCTGCTCGTAAGTATAAGTTTCAGCCAACAAGAACAGTGAGGCTTTTCAAAAATGTTTTAGGTCTTTTCAAACACTGTAATGTATACAATAAGAATAACAATTTGCGCGGAGCAATTTGATCACCAGCTCTATTGGGCCACACCTGGGGCCCAATAGAGCTGATGATCAATTGAGTTTGCAGGAGCAAGTGCAATAAACTACCGCGACCTCAGCTTGGAACAAAAAAAAGAACGGAGTGAATTTTAGTCAGTAAGAGTCTCAACACTCCCTCTTGCCCCACCCAGGGTAAGAGAAGTCATTTGATAATGTTCCCTCTTAAAAAAGTATTGAGCAGGTACTATTTTTTTTTCTCTTTTATTACTTACTTGTAAACATTTATAAGGAAGGACAAACACCAAAAATTTTATGAGTTACAAATGAAAAACCTACAATTTTGTCATCTTATGAAAATAATATGACATCAAACAAAACCATGTCTAACGTGACCAGACTCTTGTACCAGACTTTTGGGAATGAATGTATGGCCGATGAGTCATTAATAACGCTAGATATTCGTTCTACTCTCACTGTCTCATTTTGGTGGCGATGGTGGCAAGCAATAAGTGCCATCCATGGACTCATGGAGGCCTTAGTAGCTTCCAGGTATCATCTTCTGGGAATTGAGTGGAAGAGAATTAGACTGCTGATCCTTACTCAGACATCGCCATACAATGCCAGTTTTGTTTCATGCGGGTTTTCTATGAGGCTGTGGTAAAACAACCGACCCATTCGTGTCGAAGCATGACTCCCACAAGATAAATTGTCTTAAGCAATCTTGATTTTACCTAACCATTTCTATAGTAATATCATAAAGAGGTAACATTTGTAAGTTTGTATTTAGGTATTTATTTAAACTTACATAGGCGGTAAACATTACATAGGCAGACTTAATGCCGTAGGTTTTCTTACCGATCAACCTTAGGTTGATGCAGAGAGAGTATGGTAGGTGCAACAAGAAGAGAACTTTGAGATGATAAACTAAGATTTCCAAATACAACAACTAATGAAATAAATATGAATACAAGGTTATTACACTTATAGTTGTATGTAGGGGATAATCTTTGAATCTTTGGAACCGCTGGTAGGTTGTTTCCGAGTGCTATAAAACATCACAATACGATCAAGTGGAGCCGAACAGCGGGTGAAATCGCTCGGGAGTAGTTTGTAGTATCAAATAATTTGGATAACTATTCAGGCTTTTGTTTACTACAGGGCTTTGCTCTTCTGACCTACAAGTGAGTTCATAAAATGCACAATTTCAGAGGATAAAACATGAATCATTAAGAATTAGGTCACCAAAATGACGAAGAATTATTAGTCTCATTACAAATTAGCGTCTCTTTGCTTCCATATTACCTTCTTCCGATGCAAAAGTGAGTAATAGCAACCCTTACGAAGCAAACGTGTCGGAAAATAATGAATCACTGTTTACCAACTTGTGTGATGAACTTCGCACTGCTATGCTGCGTAATTATTTTTGTGCTATATCCGAACAATACCTGAGCATCATTTAAATAAGATTATTTGTTTTTGGGAATTATAATTATATTTGGATTTTTATGAGCTAAAGCTTAGTACTACTTAGAGAAAAATATCGTCCTAGGCCTAACTCCTACTATATTACAAATTATAGTAAGTACAACTACACAGTTTTAGAAAGCGTATATTGTTACAAAAAAACAAATAAGCACTCAAAACATTAAACGTGTGACGTCTACACAATTTTGTTTCTTTGTTTCGGAATACTTTTTGTTGAACAATTTTTGACAATTGTCTATTTGGAAGAGTTGGTAGTCCAGCCACTGCGTCAGCAATCACATTGTAAAGACTCATAGATTCCTGCAATGACAGTTTTTTCAGCTACCAGTACCTGAGATAACAGCTTGATCACAAGGCAATATTAAATCAAACAGTTATCAATGAATCTCTTATTTAAAGTTACTGACAGATGAAAGAAGATGAAGGAGAGCATCGTCACGAAATCTAGACTATTATTTTTTTCTCATTATAAGTTTGCAATCGCCAGTCTACCTTGAGCAAGCATGTTGATTATTGCTTAAACCTTCTCCGTGAGGGAAGAGCCCTTTGTTTAGCAGTGGACTCTCATATGCCGATTATGAATATTGTTAGAAGCAAGCTCAACTCCAAAACATCATACTTGGAATGTCACACTACCAGTCCGATAACCAAAAAGTTAATAATATAGCCCAAACTAAATTGCTAAACAATTTCCACTATGAAAACCTTGAGATAAATAAACTAATGTTGGTAGACCGCCTAATCAATCAGTCTATTGTAAAATAATATGGTCATTGTCAAAGGCATCTAATTTGTTCCATAATACACCTACAAACACATTACGCAACTTTACCAAGTCCTCTTGACCGACTTGTGGGAAAAATTGGAACGCATATATTACGTGCTACAATATATTTTGAATGTATTAATGATTGGATACTATGAATGGTTCTCTAAACGAGTAATTGCAAAATTTATTAAGATAATTGAGTTGCCACCGGGAAAGGTCCTAGGTCCACTTCGTAGCTCAGCCAGGGTTGCTGAGGACCGGGGCGTTTTCAATCTGGGAGGAAAAAGTCATTTGCTGATTTTCCCTTCACAAAAAAGGTCCACTTAGTATTAAATTATTAATTATCTTTTTTTTTATTTTACACAGGAATCTGCGTTCAGTAGGTATACGGAAGGACATTTCTTCTTATCAAATGAGTTTTATTAGGTCTGTCAAGAAGTGATATTTTACTTGTAATGATCCGCCGCTCTTGTTTGAAGCTGGGGAGAAAAAAATCTCTTCAAAAAGAGATCGTCAAAAAAGACTGAGACGTTATCCGGCTTCAGGCAATCAGGAATGAAAAATATGTGACAAAATGTTATCTTTTGGTAAAAACTCCTAGTTTGTCTGGGATTATTTTTCTCACTAAAGACACATCATCAGCCTATAAGTGCCACTTCTCTCTTTTTTCTTCTACTCTTCTCACACGAAGAAAATTTAAACAATAATCACCACCCTGCTGAAGGCGGATTGGCGATTTTTAAGTTATAATTAAAAATTATAAGTTCAGGTTTCCTCACAATGTTTTCATTTACCGTATGTCAGTAGTGTTTTAATAATCATAAGTAGAGAGTACTCGAATAAGTCACATCACTACTTGCCAGGTTTCGAACTTCAAACGCAAGAAGCGAGCGACTTAATCTCCGAGCCACCAAGTATAATTTCTCACAAATACGATCACGCGTAAAAGGAACTAATGTCAGAATAAAAAGAAAAATGTGTCACAGTAAATTAATACTTAACTTACCACACAATACTTGTGAAGTCAGTTGTAAAAACCATATGTTGATAAAATCAAATCAATAGGAACTTTTCGCAGTCTTCGTAACTTTAGCAATTTACTGATAATGAAATTATAAGACATCCCATCGACGTATTTAATCCTCAACCTAATTAAAATAAACACTTTAAACGTAACATGCTTTTTTTGTTCAGACACCATGACAACATGATGCCCTGTAATTTTTATTTCAAAAATAAATAAGTAGAGTTACTTAATTAACTCAAAATTTTAAACAACCTGAACTGAGGTTTTTGCAAAGGAGACATATTCATTTCGCTGGAGCATCTATAACACAAAATTAATAAAAGGACATAAGAAAAATATTAATGCCAGCTCAGGTAACAGGCAGGCACGGAAGAAGGCGACGTAAAAATTGGTGTTGCGATTGTCCATGGTTGGCACCAATTACTTGCCGTCAGAATTATGATCCAAATCACATTAGCCACCCCATCTCAGGTCGGAATAAACTATCCGTAATTAGATCTAGCTGCAATTGACTTAAAAATGAAATGAAATATTTTATTCAAAATTGTATTTCTTGCATTAAAGCAGGCTAGGACAACAAATTGACTAATGACTATGATTAACCTTATATAATTTGTGTCAAACCAAATAAGTTCCTAATTATTAACCAAATAAATTGACTTGACAATACAACGAAAATTATCATTATCTATGATAAACACACTAATGTGGATGTCATGCTTTATGTAAACTGTAATTATTATGTATGACTAATAAATATAAATAAAAACATAAGAAACATGGTACTACTAACAAAAGCTATATCAACTTAGATTTTCTGAACAAGCCAAACTAGATGAGTAATGAACTTGAATATGACTTAAGAAAATGCAAATGCATTTTATTATTTTCAATCTCTATTTGACCTTGCAACAGTAATTGCACGTGTCTGCAAACAAATATCCAGTTTCTACCTACCCTTATAAACAAAGGAATGTTATTATATAATTAAGTCCAATTTTACCCATAAAAACTTATAAAAAGAAGTATATAATAAAAAAATAAGCATTACAAATATACCGTTTACATTTAAATATAACAGAAAATTTTTATTATAATATTAGCTGTAGCTAATTTCTAATCAGTACCTAGTTACGGATTATTTCTACTTTCATAATCTTATATAGGAGTTACGGTAAATATCCGATTAGCTTATAAAAGTTGCATATGATCAATTAAAATTGTTAATTTAAGTTTGAAAACACGCGAGTAAGTGCCCAGCGTGCCACGTGATAACATAATAAAGTACAAATTAAACTGTACCAACGGCCAGCTGATAGGCAGTAACAAAACTAGAGTCGCCCGCAACACCCGCCGCGCACACGCAATCAACCGTCGCACGCGCAACTGAACACTCGCCCCCGATAAACGATTACCGTGCTACTAGTGAAACAAAAAAAAAATTAAAAAAAATAAAAATCTTTACGCAAACTCAGCAAATAGTAATTCCATAAAAATTGTTCTCGTTTTAAAGTATGTTAAAAAACAAATGAACGATAAAGTGGTAAACTGTTGTCAAAATGACGTTACGGGTCGAAGTGCCCGGAGAAAAGATCGTGAGTGTGGAACCATGCAAGTGCAACAAACAATACGGCACCGAGCTCAAGAAAACGGAAACGAGATTGAGCAAAAGACTGAAACAATTCCTTAAAGAGTCCTGGGCTTTTAGGTCGAAAGTTACAGTGGAACCTTTTGTTATTTGTTACGTGTTGCCTAGTGTACTCGCCGGGTTGGCTGTCCAAAATCTGTGCTTAGAGAAATCATGCCTAGTAAATCTGCAATACGACGAGCGAACCTGCACGCATATAATGCAGGGTCGCACGCACAATTATTCGGAACAAGAGAAAAATGTACAAACCATGGTCGCTTCGATGACCGCTTGGAGCTTCCCATTGCAAACAGCTCTGCCGGGAATACTAACACTCTTCTTAGGAGCATGGAGCGATCGAACAGGAAATCGGAAAGCGTTTATGGTATTACCTATCCTAGGGAAATTGATATCAGCCATTGGCATAATTCTGAGTACGGTGTTCTTCCTACAAGTTGGATTGAACGAAACCGCGCTGATCGAAGGGCTGCCGCCTGCCCTGGCGGGCGGTCGCGTCGCCATGACCATGGCCGTCTACAGTTACATCACCGACATCACTAGTGATTCGGAGAGGACTTTCCGTTTAGGGATTATAACAGCCATATTAACACTAAGCAGGCCTATAGGAATGGCGCTCAGTGGTATAATGGCGCGTCGGTTCGGATACTACGGTGTTTTCATGGTAGCATGTGTATTCTATTTGTTCGGATTTGTTTACATCCTCATAAGACTTAAAGAGAAACCAAAAAAGACGAAAGAAGTAGAGAGCGATAAAACACCGAGTATCCTCTCGGTGCTTTCCGTGAAGGATTTCGTGGCGACAGTGAATGTGGCGTTCAAAGTGCGCGAAGGTTCACGCAGAGTACAAATTATCCTAATCATGTTTGCATACATGTTCATCGTTGGACCCGTATTAGGTAATTATGTTTTATTACTATTTATGACTGTCTCTCTTGTAGTATTTGTGTTACTTATAGTAATAGTAATTAGCACCGGAAAATATGGACCAAAAAATGAGGGAATTCAAAACAATACGTTTGCTTCCTGATTTTTTTGTAAAACATATTTTCATCAATGTCAATATTTTATCATCAAAAAAAAAAATTAAAATTAATATACAACCGTAACATAAAACGGAATTCGCCACATGTGTTCGGATCGCTTGATTTTATTGTAATTTTATTGCCGAATGTAAATTTTCTTTCTCTTGATATTGCAAATACCGGTACATAACAATACGAAAAATATGACGAGAATAGCTCACAACCATATTAATTTATTCATTTCAATTTAATGAATGTTGTCTTAAGTGTATAGGGAACAAAGGCTTTTGGTTTTCAATACGTTAATCATTTGTGTATCATACATTGCATAAATTGTTACGATATATTCCATTGTACTAAAGGTAAATATAGGCAGCTCTCGTATTTTGCTTTGAAAACACAGTTTCTTTAGTTATTTGTGAAATTCTTCCATTAATAACTCTAGACTGGTTTTCCTTTATCAATTTATCAGTTTGTTGTATTTGTTCGTTGGCGTTAGGTACGGTCAGCTGCAGAGAAATGGACTCCCCCTGAAGTACAAATATGTATGTAGCTATCTGCATAGGGGATCCTTTTCTCTGCAGTTGAGTGTACACTAAATACTTACAAACAAAACTTGTCCACTGCGATTTAGTAATCGCATAATTTTTTATACAATCACCCTCAACTCATTGGCTTTTCTCCTGTGTCGTGGGTATAAAATTTCTCATACACGTCACACCCAGACCGATAAACAACAATTTGTGGATCACATAAGAAATGGTTCCTTGCTTTACCATTTACATGTATCATTTTACGTCTATTTCTATTTCTCATTTCAAATTGACTATATTGATTGTATGTATTTCTATAAATCTTCTCAGATTCCATGAAGGCGTATTATAATATTATCTATTATTTTTATACCTTCACAATATTTATCTTCTTGTCATACATTGAGTAAATATTTTCATCTTTAGTTATTGCGTTTGAATAGTAGACTTATAAACTACAATGTGATACATTTCGGAGGTACACATTTTTATAGAAAACAGGTATTTTAAGATATTTTTAGATAAACAGGTACTATTCAAATGGCAAATCCTGCATTATTTAATAAGTAGATAGTTGAGGTCTGTTGTAATAAAATATTTTGTTGGTTAAGCTATGTAGTCGCGACATTTAAGTTAGAAACAAATGATGGAATGGAGTTATATGGAAACTAAATGTTGAGTAATTCTTTTCTAGTTATTCAGTATAATGATTCAAGTTCAGTATCTTTTTCATCTTAATATGAATTTGAAAAAGTAAAAAGTTTGCACCCTATTTTGAATTCATCAAATTTAAAATGCTTAATAAATTCAATTTCATAACCTTTCTTTTCAATCACTTTAAGTATTCAGACTTGATCTTTACTCCGCCAAACTGAGAGTCATTTATTGCTTACTACCGTAACACTTTTAATATGGAGCAATCATTAAATAAATATCTATGGATACGGCATTAAAATTGCTTTTTCAAATTCAACCTTTAAAAAATGAACAAAATTTGTATTCTTTATTTAAATTCTTGATTTTTTTATTGATTGTTGGTACCTATCCAGCCAGCTTAGCGCTTACGCGCTTAGTAACAGGGTTTTTGCTTTATTTTTTTTTCGAAACCTAGTATAATAGGTTACATAGATTTTATTATTATTGTCTTTTTTTTCTTTATATTGTTTACAAATAAATCATCTCATTGAATCAAAGGAATTTACATACGTATGTACTAGTACATAATAATGCCTTTAAGAGATGCTATGCAGTTCTAGGCATAAACATTGAGGAAAAATTGTGACTTAGCACTATTATTATTGTACTTAATGCATAACACACGTGCTTAGGTCATCTCTTATAGTTGTCACATACATACCTGTATTGACAGGACTTGAATGTCACGTTTGGCAAACTGGTTAAGATGAAAAAGAAATATAATAGGTAATGTCGTCAGAGCACAGTGATACCACGGTCTCACAGAAAACCAGAATGAAGTTTTTTTACGCCTTTTTTGTGAGGAGATAATCATCAAATGACCCTCCGGCCCCGGGAGCCTGCCAGCCAGCGATAGGTAGTGTCAGACTCTTACTTTTTAAAATCCCCCTGGTCCTTCTCCTTTTCTAAGCCGAGTGCTTTCCCCGCAACCCCGACTAAATATCAGCCCTTTTAGGGTCCCGTCTGTGGTGGTCTATTGGCTCTTTGAGGCTCGCGCGGAACGCGACGCGCGCTAGCTCGGGTCTGGAAGTTTTTACCGACTGCGTTTTACCTTATTACTAAGTAAATGAGGTTACCGGGGACCAAATCTCTGTGGCCGCTGTTAGCGGAGGCCCAATCCTTCCCCTCTGCCCATATCCAAAAGCCTAATCCTCAATAGCCCGACAACGCACCCATAACTTTGGTGTTGCGGGTCTGCGTGTTGCGGGTCCGGTCCGTGTAACTAAAAGGAAAACCTGTATGTAAAAATGTGCTTGTTTTTCTGAGAACTACTTAATAAAAAATCACTGATTATGTGTGATAATCATGAACAATTTAGAACGTAGGTTCAATATTTTGCTCTTTATAAATTTTCTAGAACAAGACAATTTTATCTTGACTAAGCGACATTTTAGTACGAAATAATTAAAAACTAGTTCTATTGTATATTCATTTAGTATTACCATAACAACTAAGATCCTGTTACTAAAGTGTTTCTGGAAATTAAATGATATTTGATTTATTTTTATTAGATTACAAATATCGACCCAAAAGACACTTTATATGCTATAATATTGGATGACTTTTCGTAACTTTGGCTTAGAGCAGGAGAAGGAATAGTGTGATTTTTCATCTGACACTCCCCTCTAGCCCGACTTATAGAAATGAAAGCATTATTATTTTGAATATAATTTTTTTTTATTAAGACTTATAATTATTCAACCACTAGCAGTTCGACCCTGCTTCGCACGGGTCTTATCATCTCGCTTACGACGAAAGGGTTCCTATTACCCAACACTCCCCTCTACTTTTCTATATTTTCTTTCATAAACCTTCTTCTGACAATAACACACATAACAAAAAACGAATAAGAAGAATTGGTACAGGCGTTATTGAGTTATGCGTTTACCATATTTTGCAATTCATTTTTATATACATACTAGCGGCCCGCCCCCGCTTCGCACGGATCTCACTATCTCGCTATCAAAGGGTCACTTTTTCCTAATCTTCCCCTCTACTTTTCTAATATTTTCTTTGATAAGAACCTTCTCCTGAAAATATCAAACACAACAAAAAAAGAATTAGCAAAATTGGTCCAGGCGTTGTTGAGTTATGCGCTTACCAACACATTTTGCGATCCATTTTTATATATGTAGAAGAAGGTAGATTTACGTACTATAAAAAATGTACATAAAGATTTAGTACAATAGTAATAAGGTAGTTTCCAACTAGTCAAATTCAATACTTTTATCCAAATGTCTAAATTGGTAATTTTCAATTAAATTAGTATGAAAAACTGCTTAATTAGAAAAAAATATCTAAAACTTGGTTTATCGATCGATGAATAAAAGTGTAGTTACTTTCCAATATTTTATTGTATGTATTGAAACGTCGAATTAATTTAATGTTGACCTAGGAAACTATCCAATTCATAGACTCATTAAACTGGCTAGACTCACAGACAGACAACGTTACCCATATACTATTATTGTTTCCTCAATAATTAGATTAATAAATCTATTATATATACATACACACATTTGGACAGAAATGAATAGCATACAAACATTACATCCTATTTTCATGTCAAAACTGTCGCCAAATTGTGGCACTAATTACGACACTATTTTTGTTGTTGCCATTTTTTGGCATTGCCATTTACAAAAAATGATACAACTTGTGCGTGGGAACGTGATACGTTTTATAAATAGTTCTTATGATAATTAGTGTTGATTTACAGTAACTTCTAATAAAAGTCACAGTTTGAATAGCTAATAACAAATAATAAATTTAAAAAAATATAATAAATAACTCGTTTATAAACTGTTTATACTCATTTGCATAACCTAATAGTTATTAATGGTATAAAATACATATCGTTTGTTATCTAATTTAATATATTATGTTAAAAATGACATAAAGTTATCAGTTTATTTATAATCTATTAAAACTCTTTTGTAGGTTGAATAACAGAGCTTGTCACTTTGTTTTTTTTTTTATTTTGAACTTTAAAATCTTTTTGTATTTACTTAATATTATTATATAAAAAAAATCAAAACAGTTTCAAAGGATTATATAAAAGTAAATTTATAAGGTATTATTTTCAGAATGCATTTAATTTATTTATTTATTACATAAAAATACTCTGTTGACAAATAAGGTTAATGCCAATATCATTTTATTCAGATCACAAGGACTTGCTAGAAAGCTTTTACGTATTAAAATATATTAATATAAATATTTTATCTTAAATGGCACTTGTCCTAAGAATATTTAATATAATCTGCTCACTTGTCTTTGGTGCCTGCCTCGTTGGTTCAACGGTAGCGACTATCGAACAAGCGGTCCCAGGTTTAACCGGGTCGAATATGAATAATCCGCGACTATCGGACAATCTCAGGGAGGCGTCGAACCTCCTTGCCGGATCATAGCCGATGGGATCCGGAAGCGAAGGTTCTCGTGCGCGTATAGCCGTCTTTTTGTGGAGAAAATATTATCAAAGAGCTTCTTTCGCCCGGGGTATGGCGAGAGTATAAGACCCATGTTGACTAAAAATCTCCCCGTTCTTTCTCCTGCTCCAGGTAAATGTACCTTATTGCAGTTGCCCTGTTGCTCCAGCTGAACATTGTATATATTGCTTTTACCTTTCGAGACTAAAAAAACGGT